CTAAAGACGAACGGAATCGACTCGAATCGAATCGAATTGATTTGCAGTTACGAACTTTTATATAAATAATTGCGATAAACTTCAAATAGTCGTAAGAGTAAAATGTTAATTTCGTTCGTTAACAGCGGTCATGCTAACATAGCAGCTAAACCCATGTTAAATTTATAAAGTTAACAGCGACCTGTTTACTGAAGAACTTTAATTATTGAAACCTCTTCCGTCCAAATATTTTTAAAATAAAATTGCTTCTAAACGAATTTAATGTTTAATTATTATACAAATTAAATCAAACATTTCAATATTAAATGAATTACTAATCGCGCTTCTTAAACACCTCAAAGTATGCAATGCGTAACGGTTAGATTCCTGAGTAGCACAAACAGAATGAGTAAAAATCGTTTATGTTCTCTTTTTGATTCTCACTCAGCAGCGCCGCCGCTCGCACTCACACAAAACTGGGAACAGTCTGGCCACTGAGTTGGCGCACACGCATATCACACTCGCAGCGAGCGCAAACGACTCAAGAGCGCAGCGAATGTCACTCGTTGGCTGTGAAGAGTGTGACACTGAGCTTCTGCCGATCAGAGATCGTAGTTCCAATAAGACTGACTCTCCAGTCGTCTTGGCGCACATGTGCGTAGGCGCAAGAGCTTAACAGAAATAGTTAAGCAGAGAGAGGAGAGAGAGAGAGAGAGTGTGTGTGTGTGTGTGACAGCAGAGCGTATGGCTGTCTAGCTGTTAACTGTGATCTTTCGACGTCTGGAAGCTGACTCACACATTGCATACACATATTTGCATGCGTGTATGCGTATGCCCGGTTGTTTGTGTGCGTGTGTGTGTTTGCATGCATATAATCAACGAGGACGACGTCATCGGCGTTTCGTCTGGCTCTGTTATTGATTCTTTATGGTGATCACTCCATCTCGCTCTCGCGCTCTCGTTCTCTCTCTGGTAACTGGTTTGCTGCGGCTATTGTTTTTAGCTATGTTAAATTAATATGCAGACGTTCGGTTCGCCGGTCTCTTTTGCATCGCGTGTGAGCCGTCACCTAATGAAGACTCATTCTGATTTGAATGGCATTAGTAGCGGGAGTCGCTCCAATTAGAATAGGAGAGGCGTAGCCTAACGCTCAATTCCTATTCCTATTGCTCGCTCAGTCCATCTCCCTCGCACTCGCCTCGTGCCTTCAATGCGCCAATCCCTGTGCGCTTGCCGCTTACTTTATACTTCTTATTCTTCATTTTTGCGCTACCTTTGCGACCTCCTTTTCCTTTTTTGGTCGCACACACACATACACAGAGACAGGCACACCCTGGCAAAGCCTTGAACACGTTCTTGGAACAGGCACAAAAGGTGCAGTACAAAACGAGTTCCAGTTGCTGTCGCTGCTGCCGTTGCTGCCGCTGCTGCCGGTCAACATTTGCGTGATTTACTTTTGTACTTCCACAGCATCCACAGCGATCGACGGGCGAAACTTTAACATTTTGCTTTTGTGCTCCTTCTTCCGCTCTGGCCCCTCGGCTCCCCTACTCCGCACCTATGCGCTGTTCCAATACCCAGCTTCAGTTCGGTCAGCTGCGACGGAGACGCCGACGCTGACAGCGACGTCTGCGTCTGCGCAACTTTTGATTTTGCCTGAAACCGGTTTGCCAGTCTCCCCGCTCCCCTCCAACTCAAGTCTTGTTTTTTTTTTTTTCAAGTTTCATTTTTTTTGTTTCTGTGGAGTCTGTGTGTATCTCTGTCTGTAGCTGTTTCTACCAACTGACCCCCGGAGCAACCCACAACGCCAGCCGCAGCGACACAGCCGACAAACGTTCAGTTAATGATCTTGTCAAGTGCTTTGTAGGCGTTTTTACTTTGTTTTTGCTTCGAGTTATTTTCTTAAGATCATCAAATAGAAACGAGATACGTACGAGGTCTGAGATAATTTGATAATTTGTTATGATTTTTTTTTTTTTGCAATTGAAGCGGGAGCTCTTACAGATTCAATTTATATAGAGATAACAAAAAAATGTATTTTCTGGAGCTAATTTCTTATCTTGCTATGGGTTTCCAAACCATTTATCTCGGTAGTTTCATAACCTCTATGGAGATTTTATAAGGAAAATAAATAAATTTATATTCGAACTTGAATTTTTTTTACGTGTTTATAAAGAATTATAATTTTTGTTATAATATATGTAATTTCAATTTATTAAAAACGTGATGCGAATTGTGTTTAGAATATCAATTACTTAAGATCATTAAAAGTTTATAAAAGTACGAAGTCTGATATAATTTCTTTTTTGTTAAGTGCAATTAGATTGGTTAGGCAATTGGGATTGAAGTTTTCATTACATGTTTAGAAACTCAATTTAAATTAAAAAAAAATGTACTTTTCTATTTATTTCTTTTTTTAATTATCAATTTTTTTATTTTAATGTTATATTTCCAAAAAAAAAAAAAAAATTTAAGCAATTGCAAGACGCAAACTCATTAAGACTTGCCTAAGCAAAACCAGTTAATAGCCAGTTATTCCTGAAGCAGCTGTCAACTAATTTACATTTGTTGCTAACCGAGCAAATGATCTCGATTTCAATTTCAATTTCGATTTTGAAGCATTTGCTGCCTGGCCAAGCAGCTTCCCATGTGCATATATGTATATATACATACATATATACATATGTATGTGTGTGTGTATCTGTGTGCATTGAAAACTTTTGTGCTGCTTTTGCCATACTCCAGTTATGTTTCGCTCTGTGTGCATGTGTGTGTGTGTACTTGTGTGTGTGTGTTGGCATGTGCCCAACTGCAAATGCGGCATAAGTAAAAATCGTCTGCTCATTTCTTTTTGCTAGTCTTCTTTCGCTGCTTTACTTTTGCATAATGAATGAGTGCAGAGGTGGCTTAGTGCATATGGCTTAGTGTACATGTGTGTGTGTGTGTGTGTGTGTGTGCAAGATTTGCTTCTTAGACAACGGTACGCCAGCACGCTCAACCTTTCACTTGCCCTCGAGGCAACAACAACAATCGTTCCAGCTTCCATGTGGTCGGCCACATTGACTTTGACTACAACAAACTCACATTTCCAAAACGTTTTTATAAATAGCACTCTCTCATACACGCACACACACACAGACAAGGAACTTCTAATGTTGTAGAAGAATAAAAACGATAAACAAGAGCAGTGACTGGGCGCTGCGGGGGCGTTGCGATCTCTCGCTCGCGTTCCCTCCTCTCCATCACTCGCTCTCACTCCCTCTGCCAAGACTTTGGCTCTGGCGCTCTCTTCAAATCTTTTCTTCTGTGCCTGCTTTCACTGTTGTTGTTGCTCTGATTGTTAACAGCATTCGCTTTGGCTGCCCTGTGAATTAACAGCTACTGTTGTGGCTGCTCTTGCTGCCATTTCCAATCAATTTACATTCACCTTTTATAAGACATAAATAAATAAATTTATGTTTATATCTTCTAATGGCCTCTTATTCTCTGTGGGGGTGTCAATGAGTATGTGTGTGTGTGTGTTAAATTTATGACATAGAAATGTCAAAATCTGTATGCACTGAGATGAAATGAAATGAACGGTACTTATGGCTTTTAGCTCTTCTTTTTCTTTTTTTGGTTTTTGGGCTATTTTTGGGCGCCCATTGAAATGTCAAACTGAAACATTGCATGGCTATAAATATTTATATATAGAAAACTAAATATGAGTGCATTTTGAAATATTGAACTATTTCTGAAGGTGACTTTGAGGACTTTTTTAATTTCTGTGCAGTTAAATTTATGCATATACAGTAAAACAGCTAGAAATGTATGAATGTACTGTTAATATATTAACATTGCATGGCTATATAATAACTGTGCTAATTAACAGCTGCCGCTTGCACTTTGAGTGCTGTTTTGGTGGTTCTGGCTCAAGTTTAACTCGGTGAAATCGCTTTGCTCCTTTGACTGCTGAACCCTTGTGAAGTCAGCTGCTTTGAAAAACTCACTCAAATTCTTTGCACGAGCCACTCCAGCGCTCGCTCAATTGTGACGCGCTCTTAACTTAACAGCGGCACTCTCGCTAGCTCTCGCTCTGTCCCACTCACTCTCTCGTGGCTGCTCGTACTCCAGCAGAGTATATATGTGAGCCAATAAGAGCAACAGACGTTGGGCACTGGACTCCGCCGTTGCAGACGAAACCATGCAGAGAGCGTGAGAGAGCAAGAGAGAGCAGCGCTCGCCGTCGCTGTCGTTGTGGCTGTTTTGGCTGTGGCCGATTGGAATTTTTGGTGCATAACAGCGCCCTAACAGCGTACGACCAGAAGCAAAAACAACACCGAGCAAGGCGGACGTGTGTGTCGCATTTTGTTAATAAATTTTTAGAATTTCTGTACAAGAGAGCTAAACGCAGCTACCAACAAGCGCTGTCACATCTAATTCAAAATAACCCAAAATTTGATAATAATAATAAATACCAAAATAATTCATTGTGTTAAATGTAATAAAAATCGTGCAGAGTTGCCTTGCTCGTAGTATTAAAAATAAAGTAAAAAGAGGAAAATTAACCGAAATAAGTGTTGAGTAATATACGTAAAAAAAGGAAGAAAAAACAAGAAAATATACGAAAAATAAATCACGTAAATGAAAAACAGTCAAGAAAATAAGCAATAAATTATGCAACATTATTAAACAATTCAAGAAGCAACATTAACAACATTTTATGAAAATCGCGCGCGTTTCAACAGCCGCAACGATAACAACAACAGCAACCACAGCAGCAGTAACAACAACAACAACGACAACGAACCAAACAGCTGTCAACAAAATAAAAGAATATTCGTCTGTGTATTTTTTATCAACAAAAAAGCAAAGCGAAGCGCGAAGCGACTTTTTTTCGGTGATTGTGTACGTGTGAACGTGTGCGTGTGTAGTTGTTGTGCCGTAGTTGTTGTTGTGTTGTGCCTGTCAATTTTTGACGTCTCCGCGTGCAAGTCTATACGTGTATAGGTGCGTGCGTGCGTGTGCCTCTCGCCTCTGTCTGTCGCCGCAGTCTGTCTATGTGTGTGCGTTAGTTAGTCAGTTGTGCCTATGTGCCTGTGTGTGCGAGTGTCTCGCTTCATTTTGCCTTTGGTGTCAGTTGAAGAGAAAGAAAACGAATAGTTCGTCGCAGCTGAGCTGAGCAGAGCGGAGCGCAGTGAACGGAATAAAGTGTGCTTCAAGTCAAGTTCTATGTGTTTGCCGGCATTTTAATGACGTCACGTCAAGCAGCGCAGTAACAGCCATAAAGCAAAAGCAACAACAACAACTGCAAAGTCAGCAAAACCACAAAGCAAGAAAAATAATATCCAGTAAAAAGCCCGAAAAAAACGCGTTTCTTCTGCTGTCGCTTGCTCTCTTCTGCCTCCCTCCCTCACTATTGCTGTCCCGCTCTAGGCCACACTCAGCCTGCTCCGTGCGCGTGTGACTGTGTGTAAGTGTGTGCAAAAGAAGTTACAAATTCTAACAGCAAACCAAACGAAATTCGCAACTACAACAACAACAGGAACAGCGGAGAGAATCGAATCAAATTGAAGCGCATCGCATCGCATCGCATCGCATCATCAGCTGCTTCTCAAGGTGTTTATTTAGCTTTAATTCACATCTAAATTATTTATTCACACGTGTCTAAAAAAGTTTCCCCCTTTATTACTAATGCCCAGAGTTTTACCCACAATTGAAAAGTGGCTTATTTTTGTTTTCTCTTGAAGTAAATTTATATTTGAGCTTTTCGTCGAGTTGCTGAAATTATTGACAATATTTTCAAAGAGTGCTTAAAATTAAGTTCCACAAATGTTGAAATTAGTTTCGTCGTGTTTATACTTGTAGTAAAACAAAAGTTTCAAAATATTGTTAAGTGTGGTCAAAAATTAAGCTGAACATATGTTAGGCTTATTAGAAACGATTTTCGATTATAGCTTCCCATATTTTGTTTACAGTTTATTTAATTTGCCCAAGTCGAAGGCCCCAGCAGCCAGTGCTATATTTTAACATTAATTTTAATTAAAAAAAAAAAAAAAAAATGGTTCTCTTATGTCACATGTGTATTAAAAATTGTTTATTTATTTATTATTATTATTATTTTTTTTACATATGTCTCAGCTACAATTATTATTTAAAAATTTAATAATTTGTCAGTATGTTAACGCATTAGTTTCATGTGAACAAATACTTATATTAAATTGATAGAATAGATATTTATAACTCTTTTAAAATTTAAAATTCGAATTTGAAATGAAGTGGTATTTCATTAAAAGACATTAAAGAACAAAATTAAATTAAATTAAATTATAGTTTCTTCTTCAACATTTTATAAAAGAAGTACCACTTCATTTCCGCAATAATTTGCAAGTTTAAAAACAATTTTAATTTGTAATACACACAGGAGGATTTCAATTGGAGCTTTACTACAAAAGATATTTTCCTGCATATTGAATTGAAATATGCTTAAATTTCCTTTTTTTATATTCAGTGGTTTTTCTTGTGGTTTTTGTCACCTAAATAATTTAACTGCACAGATTTCTATTGAAATAATATAAAATAAAATCATTTGAAATAAAAGTAATACAAAAATTCAAATATTTATTAGAAAAATCAAAAGACTATGTTAGATAAATTTTTACATTTGTCTTATCATTTTATTTTTATTTATTTTTTTTATTTGCTATTAACAAATATTATTTTTATGAAAGTCCAAAAGTCAATTGAGATAAATATTTTCAATATTACATCTAAATTACAAAGAAATTCTTTTAAATGTATATCTAGAAAGTGTTTAAAAATAATATTGAAATTATAGATTTTGAACTCTATTGTAAATTAGTTTCAATCCAAAGAATCCAAGCTGAAACAATTTCTTGACTGAATCTCTTGAATCGAATATATCTTTGATGAAGTTCACTTGAACTTTGTTACTTTAATTGGTTTTTCTCTAAGGCATTAACTTCTTATAATAATTATACAAATCGAAAAACAAAAAATATCTGAACAACTTTTTGGCCCGCGGCGCTGCTCTGCGCTGTCTTCTCGTTCGCGAAGGCTAATGAACTGTGCGAGCTATTAAAATGTAGTTTATCAGCAAAAAAGGCCGAAATAATACCAATAAATGTGTAAATATACTTATATGGCATACACATATGTGTGTGTATGTATAGCACCGCCGTATATGTATGTACATGTAGATATGTATATTACATACTTATAGACAAATATGAAGTCATCTTTCGCAGTTTTACGAACTTTATTATTAATTAATCATTTGGACCCGGCGAGTTCTATTTAAGTTCAAAAACTTGGCTTGTGAAGCGCTCTACAAACTGAGTTGAATTTTAAGTTGGCCACACACTGACACCCACGCACACACACACACAAGCAAATCATGCTTAAATTGAATGCAAATTTCGCAATTTTTATTCGTATGTAAAGAGCAAGCAAGGCCTAGGCTACAAATTCGTTCGTTCCATCATGTTTTACTCTTTTCTCTCTCTACACGTAGGTTTTATGGGGTTTGTCAGGAACTTGGCTGAGTTCATGTATATATGGAGATTTATAATATTACTTTAAAATCTAGTAAAAACTTTATAGCAACAATCGATAAGTTTTGCTATCTAAAGATAAGTTTTTCGTCCTACAATGCCCCTCGGCAATACTTTAACTCTATATGCAATGTAATAACAATTTGTAAGCATTACATAATATCGACTGAACTACAGCTAGAGTTGAGCTATTGAGTTATATGAGTTATAGAAGCTTTGACTTTGTATATATATATATTATATATTTATTTATATATATAGTTTTCGTCTACAAAAAATCTTTAGCTAAAGCGTATCGCAGCGTCGGCGTGTCATAAATTTTGTCTTTTATTTTTATTTTATTCGTATTTACTTTTATTTATTTTTTACTTTTTGCTTTACTTAGCGCGAGATGTTAACGCGAGATATTCAGCACTGTTGTTGTTGTTTTTTATTTTTGTTATGAAAAGTCACGTTTTTTTTGTGTGTTTTTTTTTTTTTTTTTTTTTTTTTTTTTTTTTTTTTTTTTTTTTTTTTTTTTTTGCACTGACGGCCTTTGTCGTCGAGCCCGAGCCGAGTCGTTTCTGGTTCTGATTCCTTAGCCTCTGGCGTTACTTCAACTCGTAAACATGAAATTTATGTGCTCTTTCGAGACTCACTGTAATACATAATACATACATATGCAAATATATATGTATTTACACATAAATATATATTCATTCCACATGTGATTTCTGCTCAAATTTGTTGTAATCTATTTTTGTTTACATTTCCAAGGCGGCAAATCGAATTAGCGCTTCGCTAGAAAGAAAGAAAGAAAGAAAGAAAGAAAGAAAGAAAGAAAGCAAAAGATGAATATCTGACACTTCCCATCCATAATCACATACATACTCTTATGTTATATATGCATATATGTCTTCATATATGTACCTCTCCAATACTCTGTCTAAATTTAATAAATGAGCCAACGAAATCGCTTGGAAAATGCCACATAAATTGCTTTGTCTCTGCTGAATGCCGATATTCGTCTTTCAAGAAGCAAAATGAAGCCCAATACTGTAGCAAAAAAAAAAAAGTAGGAAAAAAAAAAAACCGACAAGCTCAACTAAAATGTGAGAGGTGAGGCCCGAGACCAAAAAAAAACTCTCAAGTCTGAGGACTTGGCATGACTAATCGATTCGATTTTTCGACTAAAAAGTCATGCCAAACTCTTACAGCAAATATGGTATATTGCTCAGCGTTCTCTCCTCTTACGCTCTCTCTCTGTCTCTTTGTCTCACCCCAAGCAAAACAATAAATAAATATCGATAGCTTTGCCATGAAGCTTTCCATACAAATTTTACTTCAGTCGCTTTGTCTCTTCGCCGCCCTCAACAAAACTTGAAAGTCACTGGACAAATTTTGTGAGCTCTTCAACTGCCAGCGACGACATTTGAAATTGCCATTTGAATGATGCGCCAAATACGTTGAGTGAGCTGAAAGGCACAGATAGACGAAGAGAGCGAGAGAGAGAGAGAGAGGGAGGTGAAGCAGTTCAGAGTTCAGTGACGGGATTTTGTGGCTTTAGCGCTTCAAGAAATCAGATCACTTCAAACATCAATTTGAGCTATGCGAATTGCAATAATAATTTGTCTTAAGCAAGAGCTGAGGCTGAAGAGACGTAGTTGAGAGAGATTGAAAGCACTAGAATAAATAGATATACAATAAATGTATACATATGCTTATTATTATTTATTACTATTATAAAAAACACATAACAAAAATTTAATACTTTTTATTATTATTTTTAATAATATAAAAAATATTTAAACATTTTTTATGCATTGTGAATTGTAATTTAATTATATGAATTGTATTTCTAATTCAATTTTTGCACACTTATTGAGTAAAAATTTGCGCATTTTTTAGCGCGTTATACAACACTTATGTGTAGAGAAATCAGAGGTAAATTTTTATTAGCAAAGTCTTTGAAAATATTCTCTCAAGAGCTTAAGCTTAAAAATATATTTATTAATTATTTTTATAATAAAGGAATTTAAAATACCAATACCAATATATATTAGCAAATTATAGCAGAATAAAACTGATGTCAATTGAAGTCAACTTAAAACTTTTATGGCCAACCAACTTCAAGCCACAAAAGCTTAAGAAATTTAATTAAATTTGCTTGCAACTGGCAAATTATATAACTAATTGCACTTCGAATGCGCACAACTGAACAACAGGCAGCCAAATAATTGCACAACTTGAAGGAAATAATTTCGATTCGCTTAAAGTGCATAAAAAAATGCTATAAATGTTGTCTAATTGGTGTTTTTTTCGTTTTTGCTTTTTCAATTGTCTTTCGTTACTCGATTTGAGTGAGTGAGTGAGTGAGTGTGTGTGTGCGTGTGTGTGTGTCGAAAGTGAAGTTAGTTACAAACTAATTTCATAGTTAATTATCCGAATGGAGTTTCTGCCATGCTCTTTCCTAATATTTCCCCAATCAAAACTTTGTTTTCATTGCACTCGAAAATTTACTGAAGCGTCACACTGTGATATTATCAAAAGTTGGCCAAGTTTTCACTTGGGTTCATTCATTGCAAAAGAACTAGTTCATTTATGCAATTGAATGCCAAATAAACTAGAATAAGAAATGCGAACTTGTTGGGCGGAAAGACCTTTATGCATTTAACAACACTGAATATTTACTGTGGAAGAAATGGATTATTAAATTTGAAATTCGATTTGAAAGGCTTCGCTTAGTCATAGAAATTCTGTTTAGAAATTTTGTCGGGGTTTATAAATTGGATTTTAGAATAGAGAAATTTCTCTTCTGTCTTCATGTTTCTTTCGAAACTTTTGTAAGATTCTTTGGTTAATATCAATGCGCTGGCATTGTCTGTTTTCTTTCTTCTGCGGCGCATAAACATTTTGGTTTCTATCAAAAATTGTTCGTGCTCGCTTTTTATTTTTATATTTCTCTCTGCTGCTGCTGCTTCTTCTTCATCTTCCTCAGTTTTGTTGCTCACTTTTTGATATTTTGAAACATGTGCTCGTCGTTGTGCTAAAAATAACACAAGTTGT